CCGTGCCCAGGAGCTGCCCGTGGAGGAAGGTGCCAGCGCAGCCCGGGAGCGACGGCGATGCTGCTGGAACGGTTTTGGCCGAGGGCATCCGTGCTCCCCCCCGTGCCTTGATCCCCCCAGGCCTCGCCCTGCTCGATCCCATGCCGGGGGGGAATGGGGGCTAAGGGGTTGCTTTTTTTTGTTGTTTTGTTTTCTTTTAAATCTCCTCGGAATTAAAGTCCCGTCACAATTTGGCTTCTCACTCCTACGAGAGCAGAGTGGCGCTATAAAAATGCACTTAACACACATCCTCTGCTAGTATTTTTTTTTCTTTTTTTTTTTTTTTCCTTTAAAAAAAAAAAAAAAAGGTTAACAAAACCTTTGCTTCCAAAGCTGGGAGACTCAATGCCACCTGATTGCATCTCTGGAGAGGCGTAAAAAATTATTCGCATAAGAGACGAGGAAAATCACCGTGATCCTGCTCTGGGCATCGTCACTGTTCCAAGGTCACCACTTCCACTGCCTGCCCATCCATGGTGACGGCACTGTCCGCTATCCTCGTGGTAACGGGTGCCATCGCCACCTGAACGGGGCCGTTGCCTTGAGCCAGGCTGGTCACCACGGTCTGGTACATGCTGACGGGGATCTGGACGAGACCTGCAGAGACAAAAAAACAACAGGAGCAGGGTTGGGAGGGAAGGAACGGAGCAAGACCAGCACGAGGGATGAGGCTGGTGTGGCCACATGCCATGGTGCGGTCCCCAGGGGTTCGGGGGCTGCATTCCTCCTGCTCCGGAGATGATCCTTTGGATCATCGGAGTACTCCCACCTGCAGTACTGCGTCCAGCTCTGGGGTCCTCAGCACAAGAAAGACATGGACCTGTTGGAGCGGGTCCAGAGGAGGCCACGAAAATGATCAGGGGGATGGAACACCTCTGCTGTGAGGAAAGGCTGAGAGTGTTGGGGTTGTTCAGCCTGGAGAAGAGAAGGCTCCAGGGAGACCTTATTGCAGCCTTTCAGTACTTAAAGGGGGGTTATAAGAAAGACGGGGACAGACTTTTTAGCTGGGCCTGTTGCGACAGGACAAGGGGGAATGGTTTGAAACAAAAAGAGGGGAGATTTAGACTAGATCTAAGGAAGAAATTTTTTACACTGAGGGTGGTGAAACCCTGGCACAGGTTGCCCAGAGAGGTGGTAGCCCCCATCCCTGGAAACATTCAAGGTCAGGTGGGATGGGGCTCTGAGCAACCTGATCTAGTTGAAGATGGCCCTGCCCACGGCAGGGGGGTTGGACTAGATGACCTTTAAAGGTCCCTTCCAACCCAAACCATTCCATGATTCTATGCATGGAAAGCAGGCAACTGCGGAAGACATCTGCCTCCCACCCAGCAGTGTCCGTGCTGGTGTAATTATTCGTGGGTTGGTGGCTTCGTTGTGCTGGACTCGCCTGCCACGGTGCCGCATGGGATGGGAGCAGGGACGGGATGGGGCAGGGTTAGGTGGCAGCACGGCGAGCTCAGCCTGCACCACGGGGCTGTCTGATGGCAGGGAGAGAGAATAAGGTTAAGGAGGAAAGAAATAAGAAATCTTTGGAGGAGGAACGCAAAGAAGATGCCGGGATGGTACAGCAGGTACCTGTACAGCCAACCCTGTCAGCCCGTGTCTTGCTGGAGGCAGGGATTGCTCCCACACGTCTCTCCCGCAGCCATGAGCGTGCCACCACGCAGCCCGGCAGGAACACACTTCAGAAATGCATTTTTGCACTTGATTTGCCCAGAATTGGGAATCCTGGGGCTGAGGAAGGGATAAACTCAGCTTCTCCCCCCTGCCAGACTTCCATCCCCTGTAACTCCATATGCCACTCAAACACCTTCCCACTCTCAAGGCACATGAGAAGGATCCCATCGCTGTGCGGATCACAGGAGCGTGATCACCACCGTCCTGCCAGCGAGCCCCAGTACAGCCACCGGCCTCTCCCAGACACGCTTCACTTCCTCCAGCTCACTCTCCATCCCAGCCGGGTCCTTCTGCCTTCACACCGAGATGGGCAAAGGGCAGCGTGAGAGCAGCGAGCCTTGGCCAAGCCTCACTGGCTCCAGGCACTGGCTATAGACACTCACATGCGTATATACATATATAACATATAACAGAGATAAAGGAAAGCAAACCAAGTTTCTCAGCCCTTCCCCACTTATGGATGGGTCCAGCAAAGTAGGAAACATCTTTTTCCTAAGGGTGGCTCAGCTACAGAAAGGGATCAGATGCCCCCGAGCTGGAGCTGGCAAAGTTTCAGGATTGTTTTTGGCCACGGAGGAAAGCACCGCTGTGCCAAACACGGTGAGTCCCGGTTAGCTAGGTAACACCAACCAGGGTAACAACAAAACAACGAACGAGGCCCCTGAGGATATTGTGATGTGAATGATGAAAAGAGGTGGAAAAAATAGCAAGGAGCACAGGTACTGCTCGATACAGCTGGGCAGGGGAGGGAGAATAGCAAATCCTGCAGGCTGGCAAGATAAACTTCATCTTTCTAGTCCGATATTATTTGCCTGTACCCACCGCTGCCTTTGGCTTGGCAAAGCATGATTTAGACAAGCGAGCCTGTAAATGCTACCCTGTATGTGACATTTCTGAAACCATCTGCACCTCTGTTGGGGGAAAAAAGCTTTTAAGGGTCAACAAATCCTTCCAGCCAGCAGCACAGGACGGCCAACCCCTAAACCAGCATTCAAACAGTTTAAGACAGAAGGTTCCTGCCCCAGGCTTTCCCAAAAAAAGCAGTACAATCTCTTTTGATTCAGGTTTCTGTGGCAGAGAGCAGACCTCTGTCCTGCCAAGGGCACTTGTTTAATAACCCGAGGCAGCAGACCGCGGCTTGGTGTCCTCGGATAACTTACTGTACAGACAGGAAAGCTTACGAGTTAATCGTGCTGACCAGGTGGGTGACCCCGGCGGAGAGCAGCGTGCTTTGCAGTCCTTCGACATCCCTCCTTTTGGGATCTCAAAGCGCTCTGCGGGTAGGAAAGTTTTGTGATTCCCCAGCCAAAGGGCTGCCCCACGCCAGGAGGGTTATGTCCACGTTCATCTGGTTCACAGCCCAACCGAGGGATCGCTTTCCTGGTGCGATGGTTCAACACCAACCGCTAGGAACGGCATGGAGTCAGGGAAGGTACAAAGCTCCCAGGGTGCTTTCTAATAAATGATAGTTTTAGGCAACAAAACACTGAAATGAGAGCTCATGCTCAGCCCTCCTGAAGAAAATCAGACTGTTCAAGGAAACGTAGCACATCCCAGTTTAAGCAGGTCCTGGCACAGACCTGGAGATCTGGCCTGGGAGGGATCTAAAATCCCCGCTCCAGACCAACAACCCAACTAAGCCCTTTGAGTTACTTGGTTTGCTAACCCAAAGGAGACTGCTGGAGCTCTCAAATGACAGTCTACTACCCTTGGCCAACCCAAAGACCAGAGCCCCCACTACCCTCGTGGACCACAGAGCAGGCAAAGTTAAAAGCCTGCTCCCTCCGTGCTGTTCAAACGTGCGTTGGCCAGGGTAGGGCTGCTGCCAAAGACGGGCGCTACCAAAAGACGACGAGATGTGAAAACCCAACCGGGGTCTTCTTTGGAAAGGATGAGTTTGCATCACCCAAGGTTTGGCCACATCTTGGAGCACACGGAAGAGCAGGGAAGTCTCCGTGAAAGACGGCGACATGCAGATCCCTTTCTGCATGGGATTAAACTAAATCGCCTCAGCATTTGACGTAGCGGCCTTCCTGCCAGGGGTGGTACCAAACCAAAGGAGGAGAGGGCTGGAAGGTCTGCTATGCATTAAAGCAGAGATGATCGCCCTTGGGAGAGAGACGATTAAACTACTGAGATACTGTAATCAGGTCCAGGATTGGCCCTGCGCTGCATCTGCTCAGACCTGCACCCTGATTAGCCCTAATCTAGCTGGCATATGTTAATCTAAAGCATGGATTTCAGACCCTTTCAATTGTATTAAAAACAGGAAATCCATTAGACAAAAAAATCCCAACTTCTCAAGTGTCTGAAAAATACCTATTTGCAAAGAAAGTGGAGCCGTGCCA